CCATGATGGAAGCCAGAGAGCACAGAAATGTAGTTTACCTTCCTGCTGCAGTGGTACCTATTTATCTACTTGCACTGGCATGTTTTTGAACTGATAGGTTGGCAGGAGCTGGGACAGAACAACAGGAGCTCACCCTGTTGTGCGGATTTGAACTGACGACCTTCTGATTGGCAAGCCCAAGAGGCTCAGTGGCTTAGACCCCAGCACCACTCACATCCCAATGACTTAAGTAAGCACCAGTGGTTTGCTTGCTCACGTTTATTTCCTTTGACATCTGTGACCAAAAGGCCACCAAAATCAATTTTAGTGGCACAGAGAATACAAAAGACGTTGAAGGAAGTGGCATCTTCCAAGTTCCAAAGTGGGAAAACTCAGCTGTTTTTGAAGGTTCTATTGGAGGGTCTGAAATAATAGTCTTGTTTCCCAGCAATGGAAAAACGCTGTAAATTTCAAGGTCCCAGTTTTGTGGTTCATGCAAATTTTATGTGAGTGTTTAGCACTGCATTATCCTCTCCCACAACATGTCTGATCCTGTCCACCCTTTCCCCCTTATAAATCTGTTAGGAGAATGAGAGAACTGGAACTTGAGCATACCACAGAGAAATATATTATTTTCTTTCCATATGTTGATGGAGGGCAAGGGAAAAACCAACTTCAAGTGGTCTTCTGGATAAAGCGAAATATTTTCTTTTGGAAAGAAATCTATCAAAAGGAAGGAAATATATGAGTTGGACCCCTGTAGCCATATAATGGAACCATAAAAGCGTGGAAAATGTGTAAGGAATCACTTGTCTACCACTTCCTTTTAACAGCCAATGTCTCACTCTCTGCAGGCATTCAATATATTCCACATTTTGGTAAGTGGAGCGATTGCAGAACCACCAGGAGGCACTGGAGTATCATTTGGTTTAGCTGCCAAAGTAGCATTTTTATTTCTGTTTTCAGGGAAAGCCTGAACATATTTATCCGAGATTTTGCCAAAGTTCTATAGAGTGGATAGACTAGGTTGTCTAGTTCTCTCTACTGCTTGTCCCTCACGTCTGGCAGTTGTGTCATACTAATAGAGTGCTAGCTGTCGACCATGCAGTATTCTCCATAAAGATTCCTGCCAAACTGCATGGCCAAAGTGCAGCAACCCATCCATTTTATTCCTTGGCTGAGGATTACGTTTGAACAAGGGAAGGTCACAGTTCAGATTAAAGGCCCTCCAAGTGTCCCGATTTTCCAGGAACAGCCCCAGATTTACGGAAGCCGTCCTGGTTTCTGATTTGATCCCAGAATGTCCTGCTTTTCCTTAAGGAGCCAGGGTGGTAAAGTGGTTAAGAGCGGTAGTCTCGTAATCTGGTGAACTGGGTTCACATCTCCGCTCCTCCACATGCAGCTGCTGGGTGACCTTGGGCTAAGTCACATTTCTCTGAAGTCTCTCAGCCTCACTCGCCTCACAGAGTGTTTGTTGTGGGGGAGGAAGGGAAAGGAGATTGTTAGCTGCTTTGAGATTCCTTAGGGTAGTGATAAAGCAGGATATCAAATCCAAACTCCTCCTCATCCTCCTCCTCCTCCTCCTCCTCCTCCTCCTCCTCCTCTTCTTCTTCTTCTTCTTCTTCTTCTTCTTCTGACATCCCTATTTTCATCGGAGATATGTTGGAGAGTATGGATTTATGTGCCCCCTGAACCAAGGAGATAAGTATCTATACAACCTTTAGAAGACATCTGAAGGCAGCCCTGTATAGTTTTATTATGTTTTTATGTATGTTGGAAGCCACCCAGAGTGGCAACCCAGTCAGATGGGTGGGGTATAAATAAAAAAAATATTATGAGTGTTATTATGGAATAGGGGCGGGATGCAGGTGGCACTGTGGTCTAAACCACTGAGCCTCTTGGTCTTGCCAATCGGAAGGTCGGTGGTTCAAATCTCCCATTGCTCTGTGCCAGCTCCTGCCAACCTAGCAGTTCAAAAGCATGCCAGTGCAAGTAGATAAATAGGTACTGCTGCAGCGGGAAGATAAACAGCATTTCCCTGTGCTCTGGCTTCCATCACAGTGTCCCGTTGCTCCAGAAGCAGTTTAGTCCTGCTGGCCACATGACCCGGAAAGCTGTCTGTGGACAAACGCTGTCTCTCTGGGCCTGAAAGCGAGATGAGTGCTGCAACCCCATAGTTGCCTTGGACTGGACTTAACCGTCCAGCGGTCCTTTACACTTTTGACCTTTGTGGAATAGGATGTCCTATTTTCATCAGAGAAATGTTGGAGGGTATGAGATTATTATTTATTGAATTTCTACCTTGCTTCTTTGCATAGAGGAAGAAGAGGAGGAGTTTGGATTTGATATCCCGCTTTATCACTACCCTAAGGAGTCTCAAAGCGGCTAACATTCTCCTTTCCCTTCCTCCCCCACAACAAACACTCTGTGAGGTGAGTGGGGCTGAGAGACTTCAAGGAAGTGTGACTGGCCCAAGGTCACCCAGCAGCTGCATGTGGAGGAGCGGGGAAGTGAATCCGGTTCACCAGATTATGAGTCTACAGTTCTTGACCACTAAACCACACTGGCTCAATGCAGTTCCAAGCACATTTAGAGAATAAGAATGAAAACACAAGAATGCATAGTGCGAAACAATATCATACATATACATAGCTGCCAATTAGAAACAATATATTGGATTTTATTTTACTTATTTATTCATTGCATTTGGATACCACCTTTCAGCCAAGGCACCCAAGGTGGTTTACAATTTTAAAGTATGAAGAAAAATGATACAACATGTAAGATGATAGTGGTGAAGGGGGGAAACAGCCTGACTGGAGCAGGCCTTGTTGTCTGTTCCTCCGTACCTCATGCTCTTTTTCCTCCTCACAGGGCAGACGATGTTCATTAATTACTCTTTGAATGTTTTTCTAGAGAAAGAGGTGCTGGAACTCACCATGAACATCTCCCTTGTTCTCTTACAATGGCAATGGTGCCTACCTGAGAGGTGCCTGAACTGAGTTCCGGCTGGAAAAACAAGCCCTGGCTGTTTGTATTGATAATTTTATTGTTTTATTCTTTTTGTAAACCACCTTGATGTTTTTGCCCCTCAATATTAGTCTATAATGTATATGAAATTAAAAAATGAAATAAGTATCCAAAGAGGGTGACATAGTCTTAACAGTTTGCTGGAACATCACTCCTTGCTGCCAAGCCGTTATGATTTGCCCGATGGCTTTTCTCTCACCCTATAGATTATCGGGTTGTTAGGACAGCAACCCACAGGGTGGTTAGCATACAGTAAGTGACAGTGGCGTAGCGTGGGTTGTCAGCACCCGGGGCAAGGCAAGTAATTTGCGCCCCCTAACTCTCACTCTGAGTGAGTGAGCCAGGTAGGGGCAGAGAGCTGCGAGTGCGAGCGCCCCCCCAGATGTTGCGCCCGGTGCGGCCGGCCCCCCTGCACCCCCCACGCTACGCCACTGGTAAGTGAAACAAGAATGACAGTCAATTTTACATCCTGGAAAAGTACAATAGAAAATGTGAACTGGGATAACGTCTGGGAGTGTAGCTGCCACAAAATTAGAGCAAAGAGCAAGGTGCGATTTTCCTGTAAACGCTCTATTTTGGATTAGACTGTTGCAGGGATCAGCGGTATGGGAGGAGATAGGTGTTCTGTGAATGCTAATAGCAGCATAATAGTAAATGCAGCATTTGGTTTACGCAACAGCAGAATGTGGGACTCAGCTACACAGCTGCAAATGAAACATTTTAAATGTGTTGTAAAGTGCAATACACAAATGTGACACTAGATGATGACGGTGAGCTATGCAAACTTCAATGTATTTTTCAAAACTTTTTTTTTTTAAAGCATTTTCACAGCGTTTTTTATATGTGTGTAGATTCCACCTTGGTCTCATTAATATTTGTAAACTGTAAACTAAACAAAGCACTGTAGAATTGCCTCCTTGTGCAATTAAGTGAGCTCCTGTCCCTTTAAAGAGAGAGCAAGAGAGAAGATCTGGGGTCTGGAACCATTACAAGAATCCTTGCTTACGCCCACACTACAGAAATAATTTATAATGGAAAAATGGCTTCTTAGACCAGTCAGAAAAATATGGCTTCGTTGTCTGGAAATATTTCTCTGTGTGTGGGGAGGGGAAGGGGGGTTCCAAACACTTAATTAAGTTTTGGTTGGGGGAATTCTTGTCAATTCCATTGGCTGGAAATAGCTTCTGACTCGTGTCCTTCATGTTGTCTCCAACTCCGAATGTGAACAATTTAATATTTGACATGCTCATGATTTATCTAGGACAGGGATGTCCAACTCCCAAGAGACTGCGATCTACTCACAGAATTTTTGGGGGGCAGTGATCTACCCCCTTTTTTCCAGGCTCAGGTCAAGCTTGTTGAGCTTTTTTTGGGGAGGATAGTCAAAGCAGTTAACTTGAAGCAGGTCTAAAATGCTGAGCTTTCTGTAGGGGAAAAAAGGAAAAGTTGCTCATCAATCAGGAAACAAACAGCCTCACAGGGAACACTCCGTCTTCTGTTCTAGCAATCATGTGCAAATGGAGGAAGGTGGAAGGGGCAAGGGGGCAGGGCCGGATACTATTTTTCCACCGCAAAGGAAAAAGAGCCTGCGATCGACTCAAACCTCCCAGGTATTGAACAGTCAATCGCTGTCAACTGCTTGGACATCCCTGCTCTAGGGTGTCTATGAACTACCGTATATTTCGCTCTATAAGACGCACCAGACCACAAGACGCACCTAGTTTTTGGAGGAGGAAAACAAGAAAAATGGTATTCTGAACCTCAGAAGCCAGAACAGCAAGAGGGATCGCTACGCAGTGAAAGCAGCAATCCCTCTTGCTGTTCTGGCTTCTGGGATAGCTGCGCAGCCTGCATTCGCTCCATAAGACGCAGACACATTTCCCCTTACTTTTTAGGAGGGAAAAAGTGAGTCTTATAGAGCAAAAAATACGGTAAATGAAAATCGTTGCCGAATATGTGGTTCTCTCTTAAAGACACAGAGGCAATAGCTACAGCAGCAATTTTTTTTTGAAGGTTCCTCAGGATGGAGGTGGGGTAGCCCAGGTAAATCGACAACTGCCTCATGGCAAACAGAGTCTCTCTCCTCTCACAGTTCTTCCTCTGCAAACAGCTCCTTTACGAAGGCTCCTAGGGCTGGAGGGGTAAGGCAAGGCAGGTGGGAAAAGCCATTGCTTCCTGGACAACAGTCTTCCTCCTCTCACAGTTCTCCCTCTGAAAACATTTAAAGAAGGTGTGTGTATGTGGTGAAACTAGCCCACTTCTGCTTCAGGTCCTGCCTACCCCTGGTTGCCCAAAAAGGAATGATGCCCTGAGGCTGAAACATGTTCTTTGGCGATCACTTGAAGCCGAGTAAGATTGTCTTCCAGAAACACGGTTTTAGCAATGGGTCTGTAAGTGGCCGTGGAGGCCAGTTCTGGATCCACACATCCTTCCACAGTGGGGACATTGGTTTCTGGGCAGGAGTTGATCATGGTGTGGATTTGCCAAGCGTGCCTTCCTCTTAGCACGTTTCTCCCTTGCATCCTGAGTTTGAGTGTCTTCAAAGCCCATGACACCTTTGGTAAAGGCTGTTCTCCAATTGGAGCGCTTGCAGGCAAGTGTTTCCCAATTGCAGGTGGCGCTGTGGGTTAAACCACAGAGCCTAGGACTTGCCGATCAGAACGTCAGCAGTTTGAATCCCTGCGATGGGGTAAGCTCCCGTTGCTTGGTCCCTGCTCCTGCCAACCTAGCAGTTTGAAAGCACGTTAAAGTGCAAGTAGATAAATAGGTACTGCTCTGGCGGGAAGGTAAACGGCGTTTCTGTGCGCTGCTCTGGTTCGCCAGAAGCGGCTTAGTCATGCTGGCCACATGACCCGGAAGCTGTACGCCAGCTCCCTCGGCCAATAAAGCGAGATGAGTGCCGCAACCCCAGAGTCGGTCACGACTGGACCTAATGGTCAGGGGTCCCTTTACCTTTTTATACTACATTTTTAAAGATTTGCCTTAAGACAGTCTTTAAACCTCTTTTGTTGACCACCAGCATTACGCTTTCCATTTTTAAGTTCGGAATAGAGTAGTTGCTTTGGAAGAAGATAACCAGGCATCCGCACAACATGACCAGTCCAACGAAGTGAAGAATCATTGCTTTGGCACTGGTGATCTTTGCTTCTTCTAGTACACTGGTATTAGTTTGCATGTTACACTCCCCTCAACTACACTGAGGCCACTAGTTGCATGCTTTTCTGGAGGTTAAGGATTTAACCATGGTCTTCCATGTTCCAATAAATGCACTGTAATTCAAATTATGGGAGATACTTGGTGGAAGTGTGTTGGGCTTGATGGGTTTAGATTCCTCAGAACTCCCCCATTTCTGTAAAGATTGACACTTTATCACATTATTTTAGACAGATCATAGTTATGAAACTTTGAAGGTGTCTCACAGTGATCATTATGGTGTGTGTGTGTGTGTGTGTACGCGCAATGTGCTCTATATAACAGATGCTTGAAACCCTTGTTGACCCCTTCTCCTCCCTAGGGAAATGAGAAGCAATTTCATATTTATGTCAGGACCTATAAGTTTGCACAGACCGTTGGTGATTCCCAACATCACATCTTATTAAGAATTTAACTGATGATTATTTACCTTCCCTAGGAACTGCCTGCATTGTTGAGTATGAAAAAAACCCCAAACTTTAAAGTATGTTACCCTCAGGGAAGGATTAATACGTTAATATGTGATTAAACTTTGAAGTTCTCCTGAAATCTACCACGCCTATTTTTATATGCCCCCAAACTTGCATTTAAAAGCAAAGCTGATTTTTTTCCTAAATACCAAACATATACAGGCTTTCGATAGCATCATATCAGTAATAGTTGGGATGGAGAAGAATTTTATTTGATCCACATTTTTCACAGAACTGGCCTAATTTGTTCCCCTGGGACTACTACAAAGAACAGAATGTTCATATCCCTTGGATTTCATACATCTCCAAATTTTGCGATAGTTTTCAGCTCAAAAATAAATAAATGAAATATGTATTTAAAAGTACCGGTATATATTTTAGGATAAAATACATAATTATATACCTATTTGGTGATAATTAATTTTGAGTTTAATTTTTTAAAAAGAATTCACATATTAATACAGGAATGGAGTAGAATAGATTTATGAATTAAAGTCTGGGTTACTGCTTACATGGCAAAGAAGATGGACAGAAATAACTAGTAATATGCATAAAAGTAAATAAAACTTGATTCTTGTACTATTTCACAATCGAAACAAAATACAAAGATAAGCATACCAAACACGTTTCAACATGAGTTTGTTAGAATTATGTCTCAACTATTTATCGGTATCTGTTATGTAAAATAGTAAAAGAAAAGAAAAAATGTATGTAAAATGTCAGTTACTAAGATGTGGTATTGTGGTAGGTGAATTATATTTTGGGAATTGCAGTTAAAGACATAAAAAGGATCGGGAGGGGGGCGAGACGAAAGAAAGGGTGCGGTTGGAGTGTTTGGAAGAGGACAGAGTTTAGTTTAATTTCAATTCTGGGTTGAGTTCAACGAAACAATTTTAGCTGCTATTCCCAATTAGGTCCCATGCTGTTTCCTTTCACAGAACCCACCGATACCCACCAGACCTAGCCGAGAAACACTGAATGAAATGGCTAAACTAAAATTGTCCTGGCAAGTGTAACAGTATTTAAATAACAGGAGCAAGCAGTGACTTTGGGAATTTCAGTTCTTATCTCGTTCCTGTGCTTGCACACTATCTCCCAAATAATTTGGAAAACTTCCTCCAAAGTGAAGAAATTATGCCACCTTCCTAATGAAAGTACTCACACCTGAAGGTTGAATTACCTTTATCAGTAGGCTGGGAGAATCTTTGATAAAGTCATACGTCGCCTCCTTGCCTCTCCTCCAAAATGGGATAGTTTTGTCCTTTTATCATGTTTTGCAGTTCTGCCAATGATTCCTTTATGTTTTGCGGCTGTAATTATAAAGTTGGTAAGTTCTATCATCGACAGAAGGGGAGCTCTCCTGTTGTGTGTCTACTCTGGTGGAATGAAGGAGCTTTAAGCATTTGTCTCTGGAATTTTGGGTGTGTTGCCATAGACCAGTATGTTAGAGTGGCTGGAGTATAGGACTAGGACCTCATACCCTCCAACATTCCTCAGATGGAAATAGGGACATTTCTCACTCCCCCCGCCAAATGACCATCCTTGACCACTCATTTTTGTCCCCCTCAGATTATTTCCTGTCAGAAAAATGGTGAGTGCCAGCACCACAACACCAACGAGACACAACACACACACACACACACACACACACACACACACACTCTTCACCACCCTGAGAAAGCCCCTTAATCTCGATTTTATTTTGTTCTTTGGTAGATTTACAAAAAGAAAAGCATAATAATAATAATAATAATAATAATAATAATGTATTATTTCTACTCCGCCCATCTGGCTAGGTTTCCCCAGCCACTCTGGGCGACTTCCACAAAAGATTAAAAATACATTAAAACATCAGTCATTCAAAACTTCCCTAAACAGGGCTGCCTTCAGATGTCACAAAACAATAAATAAAGTTTACAAAGGGCCAAGATTAGACGTGAATGCACAAATCATTTCCCCCCTTCAAATCAAGACTCCTTGTGCCCTTCTCCCCTGCCTGCCCAGGGCAGCCCTGGCCCTCTGCTTGCCCCTCAGAGCCAGTGCATCTTGTCGGGCTGGGCCTCGATGGTGGTGGCTCCTCCTCACCTGCTGTCCAGCATCTACTACAAGCTGCCTAAGGGAGGAAGCTGGCAACAGCGGTCTTGGAGAGGCAATGGGATGCTCTCTCACCACCGCTGCTTGGGAGAAGCGCCGGCTCAACCTCCTCCCCGAGCTTGGCAGTGGCAGCAGTGGCAGGAGAAATAGGGACTGTCGGAACTCCGTTTGACCGAGCTGATAAAGCTTTTCTTTGGAATTGCCTCCTGACTTGTTTAACGACCTTGAGCCTTTGATGAGGCTCCAAGTCACGTCCTCCCAGCAGAGTTCCCAGCACAAGGAAGGATGAGACAGTATGAGCTACACTGTAAAGAGTTTTATTTCTAAACTACGCAGAACAGAAAAGACATCCTCTCTCTATGAAAGCAGAGAGCAATGGAACAAAGGAAACAGGAAACCACTAACGTCACATCCCGTCTTCTTTCCCGTGAGACTCCAATAGTATGGAATCCCAGGAATGTAAACAGAGTCCTGTGACTCCACGCAGCTGCACAGTGATAAGAACAGAAACTAACAGGGACATACCAGGATCAAATCAGAAGCTGGGACAGTTTTTGTAATTCTGGGACTGTCTCTGGAAAATCGGGACACTTGGAAGGTATGGGACCTGGGAGATCAGGGTTCACATCTCTGCTCAGCCATCACATGCACTTGACGTCCTTGGACCAGTCACTCACTCGCAGCCTAATTTACCTCACAAAGTTGTCTGGATAAAATGAGGAGAGGGGGAAATCACTCCACCTTGAGCTCCTTGAAGGATGGGTGGGATATAATTGCAATAAATGAAAATGAACATTCTTAACTTTCTGTATATTCTGCTCATTTGAAAGATCCTCTGAGTAGCTAAATACGTCCAGCTCTGGCTGGGTAATACCGCCATTTTTAAGCCTTACACCATGTTTTTGGCATGGATTAGTAGCTTTCAATCCCACAACTGCCTGTAATTTGAAATCCTACCAAGGAAATCTGGTATTTTGTAGTGGCTGTTTCTCCCCCCACAGCTATTTACATGCAGTGGAGGATGAAAAAGAAACAGATGTTAGATGAAAAATATGTATTTTGAGGTGCTGAGAAAGGGGCATTGGGAAGAAGCATCGGGAAGGAAGGCCTTTCTAAAAAAAGATAGAAAAGAAACTTTAAAAAAGCCCTAAACATTGCTATCAATTCTTGTTTCTTAATGGATAATGACAGCAGTGAACAGCAATAAATCACACTGAGATGGAGTTAACTCTTTATTAGCCAAAGAGGATCTACACAGGCAGTGCTTTTTTTTTCCCTCCTAAAAAAAGGTTTAGGGGTACAGTGGTGCCCCGCAAGACGAATGCCTCGCAAGACGGAAAAACCGCTAGACGAAAGGGTTTTCCGTTTTGGAGTTGCTTCGCAGGACGAATTCCCCTATGGGCTTGCTTCGCAAGACGAAAATGTCTTGCGAGTCTTGATATATTTTTTTCGCTTTCCCCCCCCTTTATCTAATCTGCTAAGCCTTTAATAGCCTTTAATAGCCTTTTAGCAGCTAATCCCCTAAGCCTTTAAGCCTTTAATAGCCGCTAAACCGCTAATAGCGCTAATAGCGCTAATCCGTCAATGGGCTTGCTTCGCAAGACGAAAAAACCGCTAGACGAAGACTCTCGCGGAACGGATTAATTTCGTCTTGCGAGGCACCACTGTACTCTCATTTTCCTACTCATATTGAAATATTGCCCCTCAATGAGGCCAAACTTAGATTCACAAAATGTTTAGGGGTATGCGTCCACCCAGAAAAAAAGCACTGTACACAGGACTGTCAAGCCTAAATAACATAGTAATTCATCTCTGTCAGGTTTTGCAACCATGAAGCAGTTGCTAAGACTAAAGGTCCCTGCCTCCCCATTGTCACCTATGTCTCTTCTCAGAGATTTTCCCCCAGCAGCCAGAGATAGCACCTGCATGCCTGCCTTTGCTCATCCCCCTTCATGCCTCTTCTGGTTCTGGGAGACCAGGGGGAAGGGATGCTTGTCACAGCAGAAGGGGGAGACACCTGTGCCTCTTCACAAGCCTGATCTATCTCTGCTTTTTGGCCTCCCTCCTCTTCTGCTTCAGCTTCCCAATCCGATTCTGGACTTCTCTCTGTCACAGACTCTCCCTGCTCACAAAGCCCTGTTACCCTTTCACTGCATTTATGTGGGAGAGGGTTAATAAAAGCCTATGAAACTCAACACTGGACACACACAACCCCTTTGGCATACCTGAATGATGGACTGTGTTGCAGCTGTTTGTTTTCTGTACTGTACAGCTTTGACTGTAATCATAACATTCAAGTTAAAATCTGGGGCAAAAGGCATTTACTGGCCCATCATAGCTATAATTACTGACCTGCTATTTACTGTGTGTATGTCCATGTCCAACTGTTACTGTATAATTGTGAGAATTGAGAATGGTTATTAGCAGCAGCTAAACTGAAGCACAACTGGGGGGCAGGGAGGAGACTGACTCATTCGCCCCATCTCTGGAGTTAGAAGATTGTCCAGAAAGAAGACTCAAGTGGTGTGATAGTTTAGTCCCAAGTAAATACAGTGGTACCTCGGGTTAAGAACTTAATTCGTTCTGGAGGTCTGTTCTTAACCTGAAACTGTTCTTAACCTGAGGTACCACTTTAGCTAATGGGGACTCCTGCTGCCGCCGCTGCACGATTTCTGTTCTCATCCTGAAGCAAACTTCTTAACCCGAGGTACTATCTCTGGGTTAGCGGAGTCTGTAACCTGAAGCTTCTGTAACCCTAGGTACCACTGTATTATTTATTTATTGAATTTATATACTGGAGGTCTCAGGGCGGTTCACAGAACAAAATCAAAATATAAAACCACAAAATATATAGTCAAAATAAAAACAACAACCCTATAACTCCCCCTCCCCCTCCCCAAGAAAAAATCCCACATTTTAAAAGAACGTAGGATGTCAATCAAATCACCTAAAATTCCGGTTAAAAAGGAATGTTTTTGCCTGGTGCCTAAAGGTGTATAATGAAGGTGCCAGGCGAACTTCCCTAGGGAGAGCATTCCACAGATGGGGAGCCACTGCAGAGAAGGCCCCGTTCTCGTGTTGTCACCCTCTGGACCTCTCAAGGAGGAGGCGGCACACAAAGAAGGGCCTCAGAAGATGATCTCAGGGTCCACGTAGGTTAACATGGAAAGAGGCGGTCCTTGAGGTATTGTGCTCCTGAGCCGATTAAGGCTTTATAGCTCAAACCCAGCATACCAGGGGCCAGGCTTAAAACAGTTTTTCAAATTCCATCCCAAGTAATGTACTCCATCGTCTTGTTTGCTCTGTGGTCTGCTGCATCGCCCACAGCTGCCTGCCTAAATGTTTGGCAAACTGTTCATCAGAAGGCCAAAGCAGCTGGTTATTTCCTTCTGTGCGCTGCGAACCACAAGTGCCCCACTAGAGCATGAAAGCGGACGAGTTTGCCTTGGGCCCTGGCCATGTCGTCTATGGCACGTGTTCAAGCCCGCAAGTGCTTTTTCAGGTTCCCTGTCGCAGACTCCTGGAGGAACTCCCTTCAGTTTGGAATGGAAACAAAATCACCTGATCGTTTCCTCCGCTGTGATGCATGTCGCATAGCTGTTTCCTTTCATTAGGCATGGAAGCAACTCCTTGAGAGAGGCATCTCTGCTGAAAGATTAGGGGCAAGGGAAACAGATCCTTTAGGACAGACAAATTCCTCACTCCTACTATTTACCTCATGCCAGGGTTCTTCCTGGCAAAGAGGAGACGATGATGCTCGACAACCAGTACTTACGAGCTTTAGTCGCTGAGGTCAGTGCCACGTATATTATCAGATCTCAACCCGGCCAGAAAGGTTGCTATTTTAGAAGTCTGCCACAATTTTGTGGGAGGAATTCCAGCACATAGTGGAAACCGAGTGGCAATTGAAGTGGGCAAGAGCTCTCTGTTGCCCTAGTGCAGGGGTCAGCAAACTTTTTCAGCAGGGGGCCGGTCCATTGTCCCTCAGACCTTGTGGGGGGCCAGACTATATTTTGGAAAAAATAAATAAATGAATTCCTGTGCCCGACAAATAACCCAGAGATGCATTTTAAATAAAAGGACATATTCTACTCATGTGAAAACACGTCATGTGAAAACACGTCCTGGACCGTCTGTGGGCCAGATTTAAAAGGTGATTGGGCTGGATCCGGCCCCTGGGCCTTAGTTTGCCTACCCATGCCCTAGTGCAACAAATCCACTTTAAAAAACAAAAACAAAACAACCAATGGATATTTTGTGGTTAGGAAAGCAACAAGGAAATGTACTGAGAAGTTTAGGGTGAATGAATGATTAACAGAAAGATGTACAAACACCCCACAAATCAGGATGAACGCTGCCCCCCAAACAAATTGGAACAAATGTTCAATAAAGGCCAGAGTTTTAAAAAGAGTTTTATTTTAAAAAGGCTATTCTTGGATTTTCATGTAGTAGGTTTTGGAATGCAATACAATCCCAACTGGAATGAAAATTATATTTCAGAGGCCAGATGCTAACATAAGTGGTACATTGTAGCTTTCCAGTCTGTCTTGACGCTAGGTTTAAACCAGTTTTTAGAACACAGTGATCATATGTGTTCTAACTGTACATATTAAGTAGATATAATCAGTATTTTAATGCAATGTCTCCTGGTCATTATATAAAAAAATAAAAAATGTATTTGAAAAGTGTGCATGCACACGAAAGCTTATACCAAGAACAAACTTAGTTGGTCTCTAAGGTGCTATTGGACATTTTAATTATTTTTTTATATATTTTGAATGCGTCAGACCAACATGGCTACCTACCTGAATCTGGTTATTGTAGTGCATCAAGTTGTACTTTGCTCCAGACTGACCAAAGGTATTCGGCCTCCTTTTCTATGAATTAAAGAAAAGGCATCTTGCAAATATACAAAATTATACCACATACATTACCCGTACATACAGGGCATTTTTTGTTTAAATCTATTTATTTAACTTCAAAAACTGCAATCGGATTAATGTATGGCATTTAACTACACTAATGTTCAGAGCGCAAGCAATAGGGCATATACACTTTTTGCTTCTTTAAAGCATTTTTCACACTGCCAAATGTAAAAAACCTATTAACATCAGCTGCATTCCCAAAGGGATTTACAAACTTGGAGTGTAGGTTTACAGGTGCTCTGAGATATTCTTCTGCCATCTGTCAAAATTGGCCACCTCCATTCGTACTACTGCCAGATATATTCCCCTTGTGTTGTTCTGATTTGTAGAATGTGGATGAGCTCATAATACAAGCTTGGAACAACCTCTTTCATAGGACTCTGGTTTCCACACAGAAACCAGCCATCATCTGGGAATCAGAATTGAAAGACCTTCTTTTCTTGGCTCCTTTTGCCATCGTTTTGTGTACCAGAACTTCCGAAGCACTTGGGACACATAATTCTGTCTACTTGGTGTCTTTTATTTTGCTTCTTATGCAACAATCTTTTCTAAATCCAGTTCTATAGACTGATTCTCCCTTCCTTATGTGTCTATAGATGGGAGCATATTGCCCATTCTGCTAGAGGAGGGATGTCCAACAGGTCGATCACGATCTACTGGTAGATCCCCGGGAGGTTTTGGTTGATTGCAGTCAATCGCTGGCTCCCTTTCCTTAGCATTGGAGAAAGAGAATCTGGCCCCGCCCTCTGGCCCCGCCCTCCATTGTTGCATGATATGCAGAATGGAAGACTCAGTGAGGCTGTTTGTTTTACCCAGCTCAACAACCTGAAGTAGATCGTAGTCTCTTGGGAGTTGGCCACCCCTGTGCTAGAGCAAAGAGACCTTGGACCCAGCATCCAGCAGGAACCACTCATGTTAGCTGGCTGGTGGCAATTCATCATCTTCTGTATGTCATGTCATAGCTGCTGCTAGAGCCACGGTGGAGAGCTGGGCCCTCTCTCTATTGACACAGGCCTTTCATGAACACTGGACTGAGAGAAGCTAGCATGACCCTGGCCCATCCCGCTTGGACTATTGCAATGTGCTCTACATGGGGCTACCTTTGAAGGTGACCTGGAAACTACAACTAATCCAGAATGCGGCAGCTAGAATGGCGACTGGGAGTGGCCGTTGAGATCATATAACACCAGTCTTGAAAGACCTACATTGGCTCCCAGTACATTTCGAAGCACAATTCAAGGTGTTGGTGCTGACCTTTAAAGCCCTAAATGGCCTCGGCCCAGTATACCTGAAGGAGCGTCTCCACCCCCATCATTCTGCACAGACACTGAGGTCCAGCGCCGAGGGCCTTCTGGCAGTTCCCTCACTGCGAGAAGCCAACCTACAGGGCACCAGGTGGAGGGCTTTCTTGGTAGTGGCACCTGCCCTGTGGAACGCCCTCCCACCAGATGTCGAAGAGAAAAATAACTATCTGACTTTTTGAAGACATCTGAAGGCAGCCCTGTTTAGGTAAGTTTTTAATGTTTGATCTTTTATTGCTATTATTATTATTATTATTATTATTATTATTATTATTATTCTGTTGGGAGCTGCCCAGAGTGGCTGGGGAAACCCAGCCAGATGGTTGGGGTATAAATAATAATAATAATTCAATTTTAGACAGTTGCTGTATCATTTTTTAAGTTACATACCCTTAAAAGACAGATTGTTAACTAGGGTTGCCATATTGTGAAGAGCAAAAAAAGAGGACTTCTACATTTGCTGACTTCTGCTTTTAACTATGGATCACTATGGCGACTCTACCTATGAAAAAGAGGATGTGTCCTGGAAAAAGTTGATATCTGGCAACCCTAGAGCTTAATCCTGAGAAGCTTGAGCAATAAGAACCTTGTGGAGGAACTTTATTTATCCATAAAGAGTCTCTCCATACCATGATAAAAAAGCAGAATCAAAACTGGAGAGCTCAAATTGGTAGGAGTGGGGAGAAGGAAAAGATAGCTTGCATGCACACAGCCATTTCCTCTGGAACTGGCATCAATTCATTCCCTCAGTTATTATGAAAAACCCAGGTGACAACATTGCCAAACTGATGGAATCCAGTGTTTTTGCCATAACGTCCTACCACATTTTTATTGCCTGGTTTGCGGTGAGAATAGTGATGCCAGCCTCTCCAGTTTGGACGGCTAAAGTGCTATGACTTTGATTTTTCTTTCAATTGTGCAATGCCTTTTTGCATTACTATAATCTAAGGTGGTTTTATATATGACACAAAGAAATGACAAAATATGCAACGGATTACATTGACATCCTGTAACGATTCAAAATATGGCTAAAAACAAGCAACAGCATTGAAGAATTCATTTCGCATGAATTATTTGGCTGGTTTTAACCCTAGCATTGCATTCTGAGGTTTTTTTGGTGTGACTAGCACCACAATGGCGCATATAGTGGATTTTCCACTCGTTGAATTCTTTCATCCTCTAATCCATAGGCCTACTAACTTTTCTCTTTTGTGTAATCTCCAAGCTATACAGATCTTATTTGGGTTGCTTTCTTCATTTTCAGCTTTATGCCAGATGTTCAGCGTCTCCTATACTTCTCCACCAACGGTAATCCATATCTTCTTGAATTATTCTTCCAGACTGAGGCATTTTACTAACATTTGCCAGAAGAGCTAGCAGTTCTTTGTAGATGCATATGTGTCACAGATTTATTTATTTCATAAAATTTATACACTGCTTCATTGAAAGCAAACAAACAACCCAACAACTCTCAGGGCCATTCACAAAAGAGATAAAACAATAAAAGGTACTTTTAAAAAAGTTACTTAAAGTATCTTGGATACATGAATAGCTTCCTTTATAAGGAACTCTTCCTTCTATTTCTTTATTGTAATACGCTTCTCTCGTCATGCATTCTGATTTAAAGAAAACCAGCGTGTATTATTGTTGGAGCCACTGTGATTTTGTAGGTGGTGAAGCTTTTGTTCTTTCTCTCTTTTCTCAAACTAAGCAAATCAAACTCAGTTAGCTTGAGTTAATGATACATGCTAACTTTCAGAAGGTGGCTAAACTTTGTTCATATGGATTCTGTCAGCGGTTTCCGCTCATTAAGATAGTTTTCTCAGACGTCCCTTCAAATGAAGGATACCTAGCCAGTGAGTCAGAACTTTGCCATATTTGGCCTTTTCCATTTATTTTCTCTCACCAGCGGCTGACTGCATCTTATTCAGACCGCACAAATGTTAAAAATTTTGATCAAGGGAACACAGACTGAAATGTGACTCATCCCAGAAGTCTGGGGTTTGGTTTTGCTGATGTCATTTTAGTTTTTCCAGTCCCAGATCCCAAACAGTTGTAATCGACAAGTCAGACAATAATTCTGGTTCTATGAAGCTAAAAAAAGTTGTAAAAATGATTGGGGAGGGGCGTTTTCAGTGAGTGAGCTGCTGAATTTTACCTTTCACCCCCTTCCTGCCAAATTCCTCTCTCTATAGCTAATTTATACCTTATAATTACTTGAGTACTTGGGACAGCTTGCTATTCTACATAGGACCAAACACTGAGGAGGAAAAATAGGCTGGTTCAGAACAGCTCCACAGTTTGTAAATTTAGTCAGGGGCTTCTATTTTATTGGAGTGCAGGGTTAGCTTTGGGCAAGGGCTTAATTTGAACCAGGAGTGGCAACTCATCCTTTGAAGAAGTGAAGTCATGATGAAAAAGAGACCTTTACTCAGTGCTTTTTTGGGGGGTGGGAGGGAGAAAAGGTGCTGGAATTCACCGCAAACAAACTTTTGTATTAGTAGTACAGGTGACTCCCCATTGACATGGGGGTTCTGTTCTGGGCCCCTGTAAGTGAAATCACATATAATGGGGAGCGCTCTTTGTCTAGCTCCTTCCCTTTGACCTTACCGCCTTGGGTGACTTCCAAAAACCCGTCCCAAACCCAAACCCCAAATTCCCATGGTGATCGGCAAATGGTAACGGGGGCAGGATCGTGAAATCTGGAAGCCCCTAGTCATGAACCGGCAGTAGATACAGATCCTGTCGTTCTGACTCAAGGAACAAGGCAGTTGAACAGCTCAGCAGCTGTATCCATGACTGAGCAGCCCTTTTCAGGATTCTGCTCACCCCGAAAAGGGGGAGGGGCCAGAAAAGGTGCCCTTAACATAGTCTGCCTCCCTTTCCCCCTGACTGGATTACCGCGCCCAGTGGGGTCACCACCCAGCGGTCGTAAAAATGTGCTAAGAGGAAGGCATGCTTGGCAGATCCACACTGTGATGAGCTCCTGCCTGGAAACCAATGTCCCCATTCTGGAAGGATGTGTGGATCCAGAATTGGCCTCCACAGTCACTTACGGACTCATGGTTAAAACTGTGTTCATGGAAGACAGTCTTACTCAGCTACAAGTGATCGGCAAAGAAGAAGAAGAAGAATGGGGAGCACACTGGAGAGTCATGGCGACTTGCAACAAGACCCAACCCAGACCCATAGCTGTCAACTTTCAGATTTGAAAATAAGGGATCAGCAGCCTCACCTGTCCCAGGGACAGTCTACGGGATATCTAACAATCCGGGATAGCAGTGGGAAGCAGCGGGAAAAGGCGCTGGAATTTCCCACAAAAAAGGGGAAGGTTGACATGTGTGTGCAGTTTGCTGCAAAGCTGAAGAGCCTCAACAAAGCCTAACTGTGTCTCCGGCCCACAAGTAGACCCTCTCCAAAGCCCACAGAGGATGTCCCCTTCAGGCTCCAGGGACGGCGTCCTCGTGAGCTGGAGACACAGCAAGGCTTTGCTGAGGCTGCTGAGAGATGAGAGCCCAGCTCCAGCTGGAAATAAGCCCTACTTGTACTCACTGTTGAGTAATGAAAACCCTACCTCACATTGCTGAACCCCAAGCATTTCTCATTGTAGAAGCTTAGCACTGCTTCCTAATAGATAAAGAGAACAGGTCTCTGTCTAGTCTGTTTTTCTAGGTTAGCTGTATAACTAATAAGATCTAGGATTTTCTGTCATGGATGGTGGCCGTTATGTTTATGCGTGTTTACTGAACTGGACTGGCCAGTGGTTTCACTAAGTATAAGTCAGCGTCTGATGTTATCAAAAGCAGAACATGGATACAATGTCCCTCTCCTACTTCTAGTTACTCAGTAACTGGTAATTCAGAAGCTTGTTGTCTCTGAACTTGGAAGCAGTGTAGTATTCAGTCATCATGACCTCTAGTCACTGATAGCCTCATTTGCCATGAATTCTGTGAGATAACCAGCCTCATATAACCAGTGCTTTTTTTCTGGGGGTATGCAGGGATATGCAAACCCCTAAACATTTTGTGAATCTTTGTACTTTTGTCCATTTACTGTATTTATTTTTCCTGATTTGAACTATGAAATGGTGATTTTCTTGAGTCAAAATGAGAGTACCCCTAAACATTTTTTAAGAAAAAAAGCACTGCATATAACCAATATGTTTAAGTCTAATAAATCTGTGAACAATCCTTTGGCTCCTCCATGATAATATGACAGCAACAATCGCAGATAACAATGGTTCTCAAAGTGAACCATTCACAGAGGGATCAGGTGTTAAACAGGTTTGCGTTATCGCCCCAACTCTGTTTATTGTTTTCATTGCCATGATCCTACACTTTGTTGAAGGGAAGCTCCCCACTAGAGTAGAAATCATATATAGAGTAGATGGAAAGCTCTTTAATCTGAGTAGGCTGAAAGCAAAGAGTAAGGTTACCATAACTTCTGTCATAGAGCTTCAATATGCTGATGACAACATAGTGTGTGCCCACTGAGAGGATGACCTCCAAACCATCCTAAATTTCTTTGCAGAAGCTTACGAAAAACTTGGCCTATCGCTCAACATCCAAACAACCAAAGTGCTGCACAAACAAGCACAAAATAGCCCCTCTGCAGCACCACAAATCCAACTCAATGGTGTAACATTGGAAAGTGTTGATCAGTTATCTTTCCACAAGGACTGACATAGATGCTGAAATCTAGCATCACTTGAGCTCTGCGAGTGCAGCTTTCTCCCAATTGAAGTGCAGAGTGTTTGACGACTGGGACATTCGCAGGGAAATCAAAATGTTTGTTTACAAAGCTATTGTACTACCAACCTTACTTTATGCTTGCGAAACATGGACCACTTATAAACACCATCTCCAACTCCTTGAAAGATTCCATCAGCCAGTGTACTGGAAGAAGCAAAGATCACCAGTGTTGAAGCAATGATTCTTCAAATCAATTTTGTCAGACTGGTCAAGTTGTTCGGATGCCTGACTATCGTTTTCCAAAGCAACTACTCTATTCCAAACTTAAAAATGGAAAGTGTAATGCTGGTTGTCAACAAAAGAGGTTTAAAGACTCTCTCAAGGCAAATCTAAAAAAATGTAGTAAAAACACTGACAATTGGGAAACACTGACCTACAAGCGCTCCAGTTGGAGAACAGCTTTTACCAAAGTTGTCATGGACTTTGAAGACATTCAAACTGAGGATGAAAGGGAGAAACATGCTAAGAGGAAGGCACATTTGGCAAACCCTCACCATGATCAACTCCTACCTGGAAACCTATGTCCCCATGGTGGAAGGACGTGTGGATCCAGAATTGTCCTCCACAGTCACTTATGGACTCCCTGTGAAGACTGTGTTTTGGAAGACAATCTTACTTGGCTATGAGTGATCGCCAAAGAAGAGGAAGAAGAAGAAGAAGAAGAAGAAGAAGAAGAAGAAGAAGAAGAAGAAGAAGAATGTATGAAAAGCTTAATACAATACAGTAAGCTGTCCTGCCGGGCTTAGCTATGCCACTTCCCTTCACCTTGGGAGGAACAAGGTAACCAAGCCTTTGTTCTCCCTAGTCTCAATGAGAAGCTCAGCGTGTGAAGAGTTGAGCTGGTTGATGCAGCTGAGCCACATGGCTATCACAAGCCTATACCAATAATTTAGGAACTTTCAGCACTTTGTAATTAAATTAAGTTTTACTGCCTGTGCAACTTTGTGAAGTACCGTACATGAATCTGACCTTTAGAGAGTTTTTAAGTAAACATTTATTATCAAATGTGTGGTCTTTTCCTATGATGGGTGTTATGTACTGAAGTTCCCACCCTGGGCCAGCAGGGGGATACTGTAGATAGTTATGCAAATGAAGGATCAAAAGTGACGTTCAGTGATAGGATCGTTTTAGAAAGTTGCTACAGTAACGTTGTACTGGAGCTCTATATAAGCAGGCTGACTGAGCCCTTCAGTCAGTTCTGTTCTGGCCTCTGAATAAAGAAGAGCTGTTTGAAGAATCGCTGTGTCGTCTGATATGTTCACCCACAAACTTAACAATGGGGGAAGTGGGAAACTTTAGAAGGGCATATTTAACAGCCTATATTTCCATGCTTTACTGTGCTGCATATTTTGTCATTTTAAATCTCTGCTGGGGTTCTCCCACTAAAGAGTACTTGCCCCAAACTTGGTTTTTCGTTTAATCTTCCTTTTAAAGCCATACATGTCGGTGACCAACACCATGTTCTGTATTTGCAAATTGCAAATGTGCTGTCAGTGGAACTGTGTGTGTAAAATATACTTATTATGACCTGTTTTACATAGATTATTCATTTTTGACAATGTGAAAAACAGAGGGTTTCTTGGCTGGACTTAAGGAGACAGCAAATAGAAAGGTATGCAGTGGCAAAGTTTTGATTGAAAATGACAAATCAGATATTGCAGGAGTGTCTTTAAAAAAACACATAAGGGAAATAAGGACACATCATGTATTTGCTTGTTTCCTTTTCTAGATTCCACCCCCACCTTGCAATTTAGGGCATCCTTCTCCCTCCCAGCTCAACAGCTTCACATGCTGCAGATAGCTAAGTTTACATCTGCTGCGTTCCTGTTCATAGAGACCGAGCCCTTTGCCAAAGACAATCTTCATCTGCTTCTCTATAATTTACTACCCCACCAAAAAGGCTTCCTGTAGTTATACAATGGGTGTGTTAAGCTGTGCACATTCTTTGGTATTTTCTCTTAGAATGCACAGTGTTTTTCTTTGGTTTTGTGCCACTTTTAGGTTTATTTGCAGCGCACCAGAAAAGTATTAACCTATCGCAGTCAAAAAGAAAGACACAAATTTCCTCAAGCCAGTTCTTTGCATAAAGAGCTCAGTCAGCTATTTTTTCTCCCTCACACCTGGTTTCTGTTATTTCCACTGCCAGTGGGTTTTGCGTGACTGAATGTGTGCTTCACCAGCAATTTATTCTCTGGTCCTCCTCCTCCTCCTCATTTGGCTGAGGATATTGAACGAACAATGCTTATTTTCGACAACATCTTAAAATGAGAGGGTGGTTGTTTTAGCTTATCTTATCACAGAGAGCGGCCATAGTTCAGTAACAGAGTATTTGTACTGCATGCAAAAGGTCTAAGGTTGAAAATCAGGTATTTCCAGTTAAAAATGATTAAGACAGTCTGAGAAATGTTATATGGGTTTTCAGATACATGCTCTAGTCATATCACAGGATTACTTCCACACAGACACACATTACTTTTGCATGCTCTTTCTCTTTGGGTTACCACTCTGTAGGGTGTGGTGCCACAAACAGGTTTTCTTCATGTGACCTATACAGTAGGGATTGGTGAGGCAGTGGTGTGTACCTTGCTGCAGATAGTAATATTGTATCAAGCTTGAAGCAATTGGAAGCATAAGAACTGACTTCTTTTGGAAGAAATCATTGTCCGGGCTCATAAAAATATTATTCAAACGTTTACTTGCAGCACTCTTCAAGACAAAACAGAAAAATAAAATGATACATCCAAGGAGGCTTTTTTCAGCCGGAACACTCCAGAACTTAGTTCCGGTACCTCTCCTGAGCGTTCTGGCAGACCCTATCTGTGTCTATAATAATCCTGGTGTTGCGGGCAGGCGGTGCGTTTTCTAGGTGGAGGAATTTGGATGGAACGGGAGTTGGCACACTGAGTGGTTTTGGCGCTTTGTTCAATGACTTAGGGTTGTCCGTCAAAAAAGGTGGGAGTTCCTTTTCTAGAAAAAGACCCACTGCGTCCAAGAATATCCATGCAATATCTTGGGCTGTCCAGCTCAGGCTCAGCATCAAAATGATCCAAATAGACCTAGAAGCAGAGGTTTTTCTCTCTCTTTAACAGTATCTGTTTCTCTGGAGCTGTTTTCCTTGAGAGCTTCATTTATATCTTCTACTCCCTGTGGCCGTTCAGAGAAAGACTGACAGACACCACCCTTTCAAGATGGCAAATTTGCAACCCAATGCCATGGTCCACCTGATCTAAAGTTACAACACTCACATGTTAGCCAGAAGAAGGCAACAATCATCAACTCATCAAGAGCTTAGAGTCTCTTAGAAACTACTGTGGAAAAAAGCAATGACAGCAATACACATTTAGCTATTTTCCATTTTAAACATTCATAAATACACAAACACTTTCGTTCCAGTGTCAATTAAATCTATTAGACGTACTTAACCTACTGACTTCCCATTGCTGGCATCACTGTGGCTTACTGGGAGAGATAATGGAAAGGAAAGATTGGCATAGCGCAGCTGCAGTGGTGAAGGCAATCTGGCACTCCAGCCAATGTGTTTGCATCACACACCTCCTTTTCCCAGTAAGTTGTAGTACCAGCAGTAACAGGAGGCTGGGTAAGCACCACGGCCCTGCTGACTGCTACTGCTGTATAGGTTTGCAGCATAATCTCTTGGTCGACTACTGGCAACAGTTTACAGAAGGCATGAGTCATACAGATGAGTCTATTGAATGCAGACGAGAAAGAAGAGCTCTTTCCCACAGTCCTTGTCAGTTGGCTTAAGTTGCTCTGCAATGCATGGAAAACGGCCAAGACAATAACCTGATGCCAATGGCAGTGTATATATTTATGTCCTAGTTACAGGATGTTCAATAAGTGTTTATTTTAAAGTTAGGATGACAAGAGAGAGTGCACAGGGCCAAACCCAAATCTTTGAAAGCTAATGTTGGAGCAAATGTTAAGCAACATCTCAGTGTCGTTTTCTTTTGGGCGGGGGGAGAGTTGGGCCTTGTTTTGCCAATTTTGCGTTCCTTGTTTTATATTTATTTTAGTAAAACTACTTGCCCGCCATTACTGGGAAATCATTTTGCATTCTGTTACTCAGAGCAATGGCAAACACTGGTCTCTGCAGGAATAAGCAGTAGATCATTTTACATTGTTGTTTTCTGTATATGGTAAGTATATTAAAATTTGCTTTGGTGGGACAGCAATGTGAGCAGCCCTGATTCTCTTTTGCCATTGTTTTGAAACTTCGTGGGAGGAAAGAGTGCTTGAAAATGTTGTCACTGCATGTGCTAAACCAAGAGTGGGGAACCTTAGCCCTATAGGCAAAAGTCCCATAAACTTGCCAAACAAGCTCCCCTACCAGATAAGTGTAGCCTTATTTATTAGGTCACCTCAACCTCAAAAGGAAAACAAGATAAATGGAGGAAGAGTTAGGACCACAAGCTTCTTCCCTTCTAATCTTAACAAGAAAGTGCAGCACAGTATTCATAAATAATGCCAACTGGACACACATTGCTAGGTCTCCTTGGAAAATTAGTAGTAAACCTATAAATAAAAGGTAAAACAGAAGTACTCAGCAGGGACCCAGAACATCTCAGATGGCATGGTTCTTCTTCCTCTTCTTCTTCTCCTCCTCCTCCTTCTTTCTTCTACTCAATTACTTTGGCAGTGAGCACACTGAACGTCATGATAACACTTCCTGGCTTTCAGCTTGTGTTATGCCAGCCCATCCGCTCCCATTCCATTCATTAGTCTTAAAGGAATGTTTCATATGAAAAATAAAAGCTTATTTATTGCAAGGCTTGCTCTAGTTCCCTAGGTGCTTACTGTACTTACAAGAACTCATACTTGTTCCAATAAGAAATCTTTTGAACTTTGGATTGAAATTTGTGATATATTTTACGTCTCAGAAGTCTTTACTTTATTCTATCGCACCATTTCAATAGAGTGTTCTAACAAGACTTCCTGATTAGTCCCATATGTCCATAAAATTACTTCTCCAGAAATACAGGAAGGGGGAGTATTCCAGCCTCACAATATAGAAATCGCTTATCTCTTGCTTCTTTTTAAACTGAACTATTTCTGATTTAGGTTAGAATGTATTGTGAAAGTTGGCTTTCCTTTTACTATGTTTAACGTCTCTTCACTCTTCGACATATTCCAGCCAACCTGCAACCAAATAGGCTTATGTTACACATATGTAGCTGAAGGTTTTAGAAGTTTAAAAGTTGGTGAATGCGTGGGCTGACTCTGTTGAAAAGCTTTCCCAGGAAGTGATCTGAACGTTCTGTGGGCTTTGATTTGCAACAGCTCCAACTACACATATGAATCACTACTTGATGCTATGGTGGTCAGCTGAAGAACATGTAAGGATGCATGAGGAAAATGTGATTTTGTGAATTCCAGTATGAACTGGCCCGATCGTCACCTTCCAGACTAATGTGTGGCTCAGAACATAGTTATCAACAAGCTTTCACCCTTCTAGAATGTTCTGATGCTTTAAAACCAGGGGTTGGCATGGTTTACCTCGCCTGGGCAGGTTCACTCCAGCGGAGATCCCTCCATGGGCCGGATCGAGTGTGCGCGTGAGTGCACGTGGCCGTGATTTCCGGCGTCTGCACAGACACGATTTTTGGCATCTACGCAGACACGATTTTTGGCGTCTGAGCATGCACAGACGCGATTTCCGGCACCGCGGAAGCGAGTCCCCGTGCCGCACTGCGCCAGTTTAGCGCAGCGTGCGGGGACTTGCTGAGCAGGTGGCTCAGTTGGGGGGGGGGGCTTGTGGACTGGTTAAATGACCCCTGTGGGCCGCTTGTGGCCCATGGGCCTTGGGTTGCCTAAAGGTAAAGGTAAAGGGACCCCTGACCATTAGGTCCAGTCGTGACTGACTCTGGGGTTGCGGCACTCATCTCGCTTTATTGGCTGAGGGAGCCAGCGTACAGCTTCTGGGTCACGTGGCCAGCATGACGAAGCTGCTTCTGGTGAACCAGAGCAGCGCACGGAAATGCCATTTACCTTCCTGCCGGAGCGGTACCTATTTATCTACTTGCACTTTGTGCTTTCGAACTGCTAGGTTGGGAGAAGCTCAGACCGAGCAATGGGAGTTCACCCCGTCGAGGGGATTCGAACCGCTGACATTCTGATCGGCAAGTCCTAGGCTCTGTTGTTTAACCCACAGCGCCACCTTTGTCCCTGCTTTAAAACATGGCTTCAAAATGTAGCAGAGTGCATTTACAATGCAGATTCTGAGACAATGCATTTAGGAATGCTCATTTTGAGAAAAAATACATGTAAATGTAGATTTGTAAATTCTTTTAAAATAAAATAAAAATGCTGAGTAATTTGAAAATGGTATGAACCAGATTTATGACTGAATGCATGCAAAAAGTTACACAGATATAGGCAGATGTGTCCATTCCTAAACAAAATATGTGTGAGTGTGCCAGGTCTAAAAATGTCTTTCTGATATTCTAAGATAAGAATGGTGAACCGTCGCCCTTCAGATGATGTTGAACTCCCAATATCGCTGACCACTGACCATTGCTGGCTGGGGCTGATGAGAGTTGGAAGTTCAATAACATCTGGAGGACCATAGGTTCCCCATTTGTTCTCTGGGAAAGGGTATTCGTGTTAGTTCATTAGCTAATTTGTATTTCTCCCACATTTAAAAGGGTCAAACATCCAAAATAGTTAACAGGAAGAATTAGGAAACGAAAACTAAACCTGATTCATGGCGAAAGATCACACTGAGCTTTCCAATATGCCCTGTTGCACTTTTTCTGGGAATTTGTTCCGTGTCATTTGGACTACCATGGAAAAGGTACCTGGAAGTAGATTGAAGAAGGCAGTGAGTTTCATATTGGGCAAGGTGGTCTGTGTGCAGGACGCAACCACTGAAGGGCTTTATAGGTAGACAGTGTCTTGAATCAGGCTTAAACTAATCAGCAACTACTACAAAACTGGTATGTCTGCACCATCTTTTGTTCCTTGGGAGGTGAGTAGTGAGTAGTTCTTCCTTGGAAAACACAAGAGCATGGATGATTATGGCAGTATCCCTATTCTCTAGGAGAAGGCATAGCCACCTTGTATTTTTCAAGGTGTCTATGTGGCTCTGTGGTCTAAACCACAGAACCTAGGGCTTGCTGATCAGAAGGTCAGCGGTTTGAATCCCTGTGATGGGGTGAGCTCACGTTGCTCAGTCCCTGCTCCTGCCAACCTAGCAGTTCGAAAGCACGTCAAAGTGCAAATAGATAAATAGGTACCGCCCTGGCGGGAAGGTAAACAGCATTTCCGTGCGCTGTCCTGGTTCACCAGAAGCAGCTTAGTCATGCTGGCCACTTGACCTGGAAGCTGTACGCCGGGTGCCTCGGCCAATAAAGCAAGATGAGTGCTGCAACCCCAGAGACGTCTGCGACTGGACCTAACGGTCAGGGGTCCCTTTACCTTTTTATGTAACTGAGTTTAGTTGACTTATTGCCTGAGCTGCTTCCTGTTTTTCAAAAAGGAATGTTTATGGAACTCCCCTAGGTTGACCTCCTATTCAGTTGGCCAGAGTGTGTTCAGAAGAGGGTGGCCAAGATGATAAAGGGTCTGTAAACCAAGCCTTATGAGTAACAGTTGAGGGAGTTGGATGTGTTTAGCCTAGGAGAGAGGAGATTGAGAAGAGATATGATGGCCATCTTCAAATATCGTATCGGGTCTCTCCTTTTTTCTTATAGCTAAAGGGCTATCACATGGAAGATGGAACAAGCTTGTTTTCTCCTGCTCTGGAGGGTAGGACCCAAACCAATGGATTGGAAGTTACAAGAAAGGAGATTCTGACTGAACACCAGGAAGAAATTTTTGATGGTAAGAGCTGTCTGACAGTGGAACGGACTCCCATGAGAGGTGGTGGACTCTCCTTCCTTGGAGGTTTATAAGTAGAGGTTGGATGGCCATCTGTCATGGATACTTCAGTTGAGATTCCTGCACTGCAAGGGGTTGGACTAGTTGACCCTCAGGGTCCCTTCCAACTCCACTATTCTATGGTTCTTACTCCACTTACAAGGACTTACACACCTCCAAGAATACCAGTATTCCTCAGCAGCACCATCTGTATCTTGTCTAGGTTTCATTTCATTCTGCTAGCTTCATCCACTTGATGACAGCATCCAGATAAGAGTTGCTCCCAGCTGTTTCAAAGGGGGGGGGATATAGATTTTGATGTCATCAGCATCTTGATGACACCATGCTCCAAAGCTGTGAACAATCTCGCCCAGCAGTTTCATACAGATATTAAACAAGATTGATGATAATAATGGGCTGCTGTGAAAAGTTACATGATGGTCCCTGTGGGGTTGAATAGGCTACCCTTTGAGTCCACTCTGAAAGCACGCTAGAGCAAGACAGATGACCAACATGGCATAGCAAAATGCCATGCTCTACACTAGGGGAAGGGACATAACTAGAGTACGATGGTAGAGCATGGTAGAGCATATGTGTTGCATGGAGATTTAATCCCTGGTATCCCTGGAAGACTTCTGTCAGTGTAGACAATGTTGAGCTAGATGGGCCAGTGATCAGACTGGGTATAAAACAGCAGCTTATGTTCCTATCAAAAGTCATGATAACTCAAGGATAATGGAGGCACCATCTCCTGTAGGTTTTATATGTATGCAATTACGTTTCCGAGCACAATTCAGAGTGTTGGTGCTGACCTTTAAAGCCCTAAATGGCCTCGGCCCAGTATACCTGAAGGAGCATCTCCACCCCCATCGTTCTGCCCGGACACTGAGGTCCAGCTCCGAGGGCCTTCTGGCTGTTTCCTCGCTGCGAGAAGTGAGGTTACAGGGAACCAGGCAGAGGGCCTTCTCGGTAGTGGCGCCCGCCCTGTAGAACACCCTCCCATCAGATGTCAAGGAAATAAACACCCATCTGACTTTTAGAAGACATCTGAAGGCAACCCTTTTAAGGGAATTTTGATATTTTATCACTTTTTTATGTGCTGTAAGCCGCCCGGAGTGGCTGGAGAAACCCAGCCAGATGGGTGGAGTATAAATAATAACACTTCTTCTTCTTGTTGTTGTTAATGCTGGCGTTGACCTCACCCACCACAGCACACTCCTCCATTGTCTCCCAAGACAAGTGGCTGCCAACAGCAACAACAGTCCAAAATGACAGAGGCCAAACTGAAATGAGGTAAGAAATGTAACATTCAGCTCAGGTTGCACAACTTTTCCCCATGCAGAAAGGTTGGAAATTGGCCAGTGGCTCATCCGCTGACTTCAGTGTTGTGGTTTTCAGAAGAGTTTGGATCATAACTACCTTCCTTGCAGAAGATGGCAACCCCACCTCCCTAATCCACCCTACCTCCATGATCTCAAATAAACAGCGTGGTTCCTTCCAGTAAGCTTTAATCGGGCAGAATTGGGAAGGTTCTCAACTGCACCAATACTAATATTACTACAACTACTAATATAATATTCTGTGATATTTTTCTAGAAAAAGAGGTGCTGGAACTCGCCACGAATACCTTCCTTGTTTTCTTATAATGGCAATGGCACTTGCCTGAGAGGTGCCGGAACTGAGTTCTGGACGAGTTGCGACAGGAAAAAAAATACCCTGAATATATTAAATTTGTATATTACCCTACACCAGTAGATCCCAGGGCGGTTCACAGCAGAAAAAAATACAAAGCGAGAATATGATATATAAAACGAAACAAAAACAAACCAATAACCTCTCTCTCGCAAGCATATATAAAAAGCCATAGATTGTTAATCAGCCGAACACCTGGTTGAAGTTAAACATTTTCACCTGGTGCCTAAATAGATGTAATGAAGGAGCCAGGCGATCCTTTCTGGGGAGAGCATTCTGCAAACGGAGAGCCTGCAGAAAAGGCCTTTTCTTGTCTTATTGTTAGGATATTTCCGTTCCACCTTAAAAGGGAGCAGGCTTTGTGAGTCAGAGTCTGCGCATGTCCTGTCACAGGATGTTTATGTTTGCTACTGCTTTCGTTTCTCTCTCTGTGTCGTAGACACTAAAGCAGGCAGTCATGTTTTTCTGTGTTCTGATCAACGCTGAATAAACTTGTAAATAATGCTCTCCTGAGTGCAACTTTTGGCTGTGCATTATCTGCTGATAGAGTCTGCATGAGCTCTGGAATGTGGCAAGATATTGTCTAGAAATTCATGTCGCTAATTGCTGATACTGCGTGCCTACAGGAGATCGATGGATCATCCGGCAGACGGCTTGGGGGCCATGATGGACTTTGTCTCCCTGGCAGTATCCCAACAGTTGTCACCCTCCGGACTTGTGGAGGAGGCACACAAAGAAGGGCCTCAGATGATGAACTCAGAGTCTGGGTTGGTTTGTATGCAGAGAGGTGGTCTATGAGGTATTGTGGTCCTGAGCTGTTTAGGGCTTTATAGGTCAAACCCAGCACTTTGAATTGGGCCCGGGGAACTAATTTGCAGGCCAGGATCAGTGCAATATGCTCAAACCAATGGTCTTCAGAGTCTCAAACAGCATATCTCCAGGAACTATCCATCCCTGTTACAAAAGAGGAAATTTTTAGTGGTTACAAATAGCAATTGTTTTTATTATCCTGGGGAAATGGGAGATTTGTACATGTATAGACCCGCTAGGCCCTTTCCTTAGATGTGCAGCACAGTCCTGAACATGCTTACTTGAAAGTCCTAGCATCATCAATGGGACTTACTCCTAGGAAAATGTGCATAGGAATTCAGCTTGAGACTATATCCTTGAGCAATCAGGTTGAATGCATTCCTTGCTCTAGGGGAAGTGTTTTTCAAAAGAGCATTTTTTTTTAATTAAAAGAAATTCTTAAAATGAAGCATAGCTAGTGACAAGCTCAACTACGGAGTCCAAAACACCTTTGTTTAAAATTCAGAACAGTAATCAAATTTACGTTTGACAAGCAGCGTAAAGCCATGACAAATTTTCAGGCAGAATTTTACCGAGACTTCTATGAAGTATTTGAAAATCTGTTTCACATATGGATTCAATCCATAACAATGTAAAAGGCTGTAAAATATTGGAAAGAAGTTGGCGGGGAGGGAAAATGGAAAAGTAAAGAGAGTACATAAAAGACCTCTCCTTTTAATAAATCTGCTTTTCATTCTATATTTGAAATAACCAGGCAACTGTTTTCACAGTTTTATAATATTGTTATACTGGGCTACAATTCCATTGGTGACTTCACCCCCTAAAAAAGTAGAGAAAGTGAATTATATGTCTCGTGGTTAGGTATCATACACATCCAAACCTTGGAACGGAGTCTGGTTTTTGGACAATTCCTATTTTTCCAAAGTCATTCTCATTCTGGCAATGTTTTTACATCCCTTTCTCCTGTAAGAATTACTTCCTTTCACTCCCTATTGTCACTGTAAACTTGCTCTCTCAGCCACTAGCCACCCCAAAGCTGCCAGAGGTAAATAAAAATATATAAAGAACAAATATACAGACTCATAGAATTATAGTGTTGGAAGGTATCCTGAGGGTCATCTAGTCCAACCCTCTGCAGTGGCAGGAATCTCAGCTAAAGCATCCACTGCATATGCCATGAAGGAGAGTCCATGGCCCTCTTTTGATGTATTCACCTTCATCAGCTAATTTTTAAAGGGTCATGTAAGTTTGAAGACTTTCGGATAAATATATCCTGTTATTTTCTATATTTCTCAAGGATAACAACTACATGTGGGTATATCAACGTGTATCTTGAGCTTTTCTGTGCTTGTTTCTAATCCATAATTGACTTCTCACTTCTGCTCAATGATTGAAACTAAGACCTCCACGACGAATCTGGACTAACATGAACTTACCTCTACTCATAAACTCTTATCTCTAATTCTGTAATGAATTATTGTGTTATACATGTTTTATGAGTTTGAGTTTGTAATCTCTGTTAGAGTTTGTAATCTCTATTTGAGTTTGTAATCCTTGTCAGAATACATACTTTTGAATGAATTAGTTTTTGTTGCTATTGACTATTGATTTGCGAGTAGGGACCACTCCCACTACTGAAACTTACATTGGCCTGAGTTCTTGGTGTGCTTTTTTCTTGGTATATTTAATAACAAGAACCCCAACTTATTTAACAAAGGAGAGGCCACCACCTCTTGTGGGAGTCTGTTCCACTGTTCTTTGCATCAAAAAGTTCTTATTGATGGTTTGTCAGAATTTCCTTTTTTGCAACTTGAATCCATTGGTTTGGGTCCTTGCCTCCGGAAGAGGAGAAACAAGCTTGCACCATCTTCCATGAAATTATTCCACAAAAAAAGTGTTTGTGTGTTCACCAGTGAGCAACAAAATGGCCTTCTTTCCCCTCAAACATGGTGATATTTGGAGAACATTCTGCAAAGTTCCACCTCCTTGTTCTACTGAGGGTGAGGAAAAATAAATCTCAAAAATGTCCCTAGATAAGTATCGTTTGAGAAATTCCAGCTTAGCTGAAACACCCATTCTCCTTTATCCACCCATTTGTACAGAGACCAGGACCTTCCAAATTTGCCTCAATATTTTCTTTAGGCAAAATTTAGCTACATCTCTAAGACTCTAAGGGGGTAGGGTAGGGGGTTATTGGTTCATGGGTATTTTTTTGTTGTTCTTGTTTTTATTAGGTTTTTATGTTGTGTTTTTATGTTGTGAACCACCCTGATAAGGAGCAGTATACAAATTAATTAAATAATAATAATAATAATAAGTGACAACAGAATTCCTCTGGAACAGAAAGCACTGATAGATATGTGTAGGGAAACAGAGGCCTGGAACCAAATTTTTGCCAGAGTGACAGATATAAAGCCTGAAGTTGCGCCTGAAGTTGCAGCTATGCCCTAGGTTGACAACAACAATGACTACTACTACTACTACTGGAATTGATGCTTTTGAATTATGGTGCTAGAGGAGACTCTTGAGAGTCCCATGGATTGCAAGAAGATCAGACCTACCCATTCTGAAGGAAATCAGCCCTGAGTGCTCACTGGAAGGACAGATCCTGAAGCTGAGGCTCCAATACTTTGGCCACCTCATTAGGAGAGGAGACTCCCTGGAAAAGACCCTGATGTTGGGAAAGATGGAGGGCACAAGAAGAAGAGGACGACAGAGGATGAGATGGTTGGACAGTGTTTTCAAAGCTACTAACATGAGTTTGACCAAACTGCGGGAGGCAGTAGAAGACAGGAGTGCCTGGCGTGCTCTGGGGTCACGAAGAGTCGGACACAACTAAATGACTAAACAACAACAACAGGGGTTGCAGCCTGACAACATCTTAGGGTGGGCCCTGTGTTGGCTATCCTTGGTGTAAACAAAGCCAGGCATGAGGGCATGAATTAACTTCACGCTGAAAATACTTGCTTGATCTTTCCAATTTAGAACCTTACTGGGATACTAGGTCCAAGGAAATTGGATTCATTCACAGAAAATAACTCACATGTCTGGGGGAAAAAATCTGTTCTTCATTTGGGTCCCTAAATTTGAGCACGGGAGCATCTAATGTCCTCCCTGAAGGATATGAGTAAGTGAAATATCTTGGGATATTGTTTATTATCCTGGATTTGGAGTCTCATCTTTCATTCCTGAAAGTCACCCCTCTTACTCTGAACCAATTGTTCACTGGGGCACCCAGGGTTCACATTAACATCAACATTGTGGAGGGGCAGTTCTGGGTAGCCAATTGGATGCAGATGTTGACATGAATGAGGGAACGCTCACTGCAGAATCCATCAGGTCTAAAACGTGGGCAGAAAGATTTATATGCATCCATATTGTGAAACAGATACACGGGTGTTTCTGCAGCTGTGGCTTATCGATGTCTGTATTGCAGACAGATCATGGGTGTAAATCTCTTCAAACGATGAAGCTCTTTCCACAAATAACATCCAGTAGGAGAGATGCAATGCACATACAACCTGTAGTTAACCGGATTCTGCATTATGTAATGGGTATTCTCAAATCTATTCACCTCATCAACACTATTCTAAATCGGAAAAATCGTATAGTAAAAGCTATGCTTTTCCCAGTAGTGATGTATGGAAGTGAGAGCTGGACCATAAAGAAGGCTGATCGCTGAAGAATTGATGCTTTTGAATTATGGTGCTGGAGGAGACTCTTGAGAGTCCCATGGACTGCAAGAAGATCAAACCTATCCATTCTGAAGGAAATCAGCCCTGAGTGCTCACTGGAAGGACAGATCCTGAAGCTGAGGCTCCAATACTTTGGCCACCTCATGAGAAGAGAAGACTCCCTGGAAAAGACCCTGATGTTGGGAAAGATGGAGGGCACAAGGAGAAGGGGACGACAGAGGATGAGATGGTTGGATAATGTTCTCAAAGCTACTAACATGAGTTTGACCAAACTGTGGGAGGCAGTAGAAGACAGGAGTGCCTGGCGTGCTCTGGTCCATGGGGTCACGAAGTGTCGGACACGACTAAATGACTAAGCAACAACAACAACAACTCGGAAAAGTTTATGTAATTACCACTCACCCCCTCCGAGAGGTGGGCGGGGTTTGCAATCCAGCACGAGGCTTCCCGGGACCAGGGGGCCACCCACCTTGGCTACAGGGTGGCTGTCGTCCCACCCCCATCCCAGCGGACCAATGAGCTGTGGGCTGGGCATGGGCAGTGGAAAAGGCCGATGCTCCTTGGCCCAGTCTCACCATGACTGCAACAGGGAAGTGAGCATCATTTTCTGATGTTGATCAGTGCCCTACTTTTATCGAATGCCGATACCTTCTCTTATTATGAACGCCTACTGCAAATGTTTAGGGACGCGGGTGGCGCTGTGGGTAAAACCTCAGTGCCTAGGACTTGCCGATCGTATGGTCGGCGGTTCGAATCCCCGCGGCGGGGTGAGCTCCTGTCGTTCGGTCCCAGCTCCTGCCCACCTAGCAGTTCGAAAGCACTCTTAAGTGCAAGTAGATAAATAGGTACCGCTTTATAGCGGGAAGGTAAACGGCGTTTCCGTGTGCTGCGCTGGTGCTGGCTCGCCAGCTGCAGCTTCATCACGCTGGCCACATGACCCGGAAGTGTCTTCGGATGGCGCCGGCTCACGGCCTCTAGAGCGAGATGAGCACGCAACCCTAGAGTCGGACACGACTGGCCCGTACGGGCAGGGGTACCTTACTGCAAATGTTGGTGAAATAGAAGTACGGAGAAATGCTCAAATGTTAGTCATAACATGTACCGGATTTGTCACTCTTGCGTATAATTCAGCTTAAGCTCTCTGTATTGTCTGCCATAAATTGCTTAGACAGAAGAAATTCATTCATTGGTTTCACATTTCACACAACTACTGACCCAGTGAAACAACTTGCGATTGTCTTCTTAATCTTCAGTAGCCCCCCCCCAACCCATTTCCTATTTTAATTTGAACTAGGAGAGGATTTGAGTTAGGTCAACAGCTGCACTATCATACCACTTTAACATTCATGGCTTCTCCCAAGGAATCCTGGGAACCGTCATTTGAGAAGGGTCCTGGGAGCTGTAACTCTGTGAGGGGTTTTCTTAACAACTCTCAGCACTCTTAACAAATGACAGCTTCTAGATTCTTTGCGGGAAGCCATGGCTATATAAGTTACAAGATACAAGTTTCTGCCGTTAGGCAGAGTGAGGCACCTGCTTCAGGTGGTTGATTTGGGGTATCAGGAAAGGACTCCAATAGCACTTACGCTATGATCCTCTGTAGATTTACCCAAGTGTAAGTCCCATTGGATTGGGATTCATAACTTTACTTGCCTGTAAAAGTGTAATAATCAGTCAATCAATCAATCAATCAATCAATCAATCAATCAATCTCCTTTATTGGCATAGAATGCAATAGTCCTAAAGTATGTTACATCTGACCCAAATTTAATATCCATAGGGCAATAGATAATGTAGAAGATTGTCATCTAAATCTTTTGTGTTGGAAAGATGCACAATAGTCTACAATCTCTCTCTCTCTCTCTCTCTCTCTCTCTCTCTCTCTCTCTGGAACTGAACTTTGTGTGTGCTAAACGCCTTTTGAATTCAGTGAAGTTTTGGAATTCAATGCAGGCTTATGTGAGGAAGCCAACAGAGTGGGTGTGTACTAGCTCTTTAAAGCTTTCTTTGTGTGAGTGTGTTTTATCGCAATGTATCACATACTTCTAATCCACTGGCAACAGAATAATAACTGAAATAGTTGTTTATTTTAAAAGGGGAAAAAACCAACAATGTTTACACGAATTCTTATGAAACAGAAAATTAAACATATGTGGAATACCAGTGCCGAGGAAAATGCCAAAGAGTTAATAAAGCCAAAGTTTGATAGCCTAACGTGGTGTTCTTTTGTTCTTTTTATTTTTATTCAATTTTCTTTTTCATTCAGTACATACATCTCATATTCATAACATTTACTATGCATTCCTTCCTCCCTCCCTTCCCCCAACTTCCACTTCTGATTTGTTTCTCCTTTCACTCATCTTGCTACCTCCTAAAAGAAAAAGTACTAATAACATATTTATACAATAACATCTAACCTAAAAACATAAGGATAAAAATAAGTACACCATATTTCTCTATCTTCTACACATTTTTAATACCAGTGATGTGAATGTTTATTGAAATCCTGCCATCAAGTCTATAGACTTTCTTTGTTGCTGCAAATATAATATAAATGGTTCCCATTCTTTTTCAAAGTCACTGTTGTCTTTTTCTCGTAGTCTGTCATTTTTGGCAATTCTGCATAGTTCATCAACTTCTCTTGCCATTGTTCTTTAGTTGGTATTTCTCCAGTCTTCCAATTTTGTGCAATCAACATTCTCGCAGCTGTAGTGGCATACATAAATAAAGTCCTCTTTTCTTTTGGTATATCTTGGCCTAAGATACCTCTGTTTTTTTTTACAAAAGTTATTTTCAACATTTTCTTCAACTCATTATATATTATTTCTCAATAAGTTTTTACCTTTTTGCAGTCCCACCACATATGATAAAACGTGGTGTTCTTTTGAGTAAAGAGTAGGGGAATAGAACTCACAAAGAAATAATTCAGCTACCTTCAGCGCTTACACCAAATAAGCGTTTCAGTTAAACGTATTGTGAACTTTGTATGAGAAATCGGGCGGGCAAAAACGGAACTCCACAGCGCCATCTGGTGTCATAGTGTTATAATGCATGTACAACACATATAAAACGCTTTTTCTTTGCCAATGTAGCTGAGTCCCAGGGTTCAACGTAGTAGAATATTCTCATTTGTCAGTTGATTCATGCCAGGACCATTTAGATCAGCAGGCAATTTGCCACCATCTTTTTGTCAGGATGTAAACTGTCCTCATGCCCAGAGTTAGTATCTGCTTTGGTTGATTTGACTATTCCACTATCTTGTTTCCAAGACAGCAAATGAAGCTTAAACAAAACAAAGCAAAACAAAGCAAAGCAAAACAAAACAAAACAAAAAGACCCTCATGATTTACAATGTTCCTATATTCAGAGATTGCTTTCTGCATCCACTTTTATCTGCCAAGCACCTCCACCTCAGAATCTACCATGTTGCAGATGATTCTTGCATATATCATCAATTTTTATTATGGTCCAGAGACCCAACAAATCGTTACAAAGCAATACACAATTCATACAGCCTACCTCCTGGTTAACCAACCTTTTGTTCAGAATATAGGGATCATTGGTTCTTGCAACCACCGATAAAAACTTTGCCACTGCTAATGTTCTAGCATTTGTCCGGTCTTCCAATAGGAACCTGACATAATGAGCTTCTGATTTTCCTGGAAAAGGTACCAGCAAGGGTAGTATCAGTTCAGCCCTGGCTTGCTCATATTTTGCACAGTGCAACAAACTATGTTTTATGGAATCAATGTCTTGAGCACACTAGCAAAGTCTGTCCTGGTAGGGAACTCCTCTCAACCTGCCATCCAACACTGCAGAAGGAAAGACGTTTAGTCTGGCTTTGGTGAAAAGCCTTCAATAGTTTGGTACTGTCAGGTTTTTAATGTAAGATGTTAACTTAAAGACATGCCCATATTGTACTCCTACTGCCAGCGGACTACAGACTGCGTGTGTATATATTCTAGAACACAATACTTAGTTCCAGGGCCAGCCCACCCATGAGGTGAGGTGAGGCAACTGATCTGGACCCGAGGAGTGAGTAACTCGCCTCCTCTGAGGGTGAGCCCTCCCACTGCCTTGCCTGTGCTTCCTGCAGTGGGGATACTGCAGTAGGTTTTTTTGCCTCAAACTTCAAAACATCGCAGGCCAGCCCTGCTGAGTTTATTCACCCTCAAATACATGCAGTGTTTCCTTGCAAGGCAAGGTGCAGCGGAAAATCAGTATAACTGGCTAAACACTGGCTAAACACTTCAATAAGGACAAGCTAGCTTCCTTATCGGCTGAGTGAAAAACCCCCTAAGTCAGGCCACCAACATTTTGGACCAGTGGACACATTTTTTCTCCTCCTCCTCCTCCTCCCCCACTACAAAGAAAAATATGCAAGGTGGCCACATTCTTGCACATACTCATGTACACACAGCCACAGATGTACACCTCTCACTCTCTAAAAAAAAGGTAAAGGACCCCTGGGCGGTTAAGTCCAGTCAAAGGCGACTATGCGGTTGCGGCACTCATCTCGCTTTTCAGGCCGATGGAGCCAGCATTTGTCCACAGACAGCTTTCTGGGTCATGTGGCCAGCATGACTTAACCGCTTCTGGCATAACGGAACACCGTGATGGAAACCAGAGTGCACGGAAACGTCATTTACCTTTCCGCCACAGGGGTACCTACCGTATTGGCCCCAATATAAGCCTCACCCAAATATAAGCTGCACCTTTAAAATTCAAGGGGGGAAAAGAAAAAAAGACAATACCCGAATATAGACCTCTCCCTTAAAATTCCACAGGCATTCACATCCGTTCCGTTTTACTGTATGTCTGTTTCAGCAGCGATATCGTAAAAGCCAATTTTTGTAAGGTAGCGAATTTAAGCCGCACTTTAACTTTTCACTGTTGGAATTTGATGGGAAAAGTGAGGCTTATATTCAGGCCAATATGGTATTTATCTACTTGCATTGGCGTGCTTTCAAACTGCTAGGTTGGCAGGGACAGAGCAATGGGAGCTCACCTCGTTGTGGGGATTCGAACCGCCGATCTTCTGATCGGCAAGCCCAAGAGGTTCAGTGGTTTAGACCACAGCGCCACCCGCATCTCCCTCTCCAGTAACTGTCTAGATGGGTGCCTGCCTGGGAATTGCATTTATGCTGCCTTAAGTTCCACGATGGAAGAAAAGTAGGCTATAAATGTATGGAAGTAAATAGGCAATACCGCTCAAATGCATTATGCCCTGGATGCAAGAGCTTTGGGGAAAAACACACACACACAATGTTTGAGCTTTGCACTGGTATCTGCTTTTGGAGGCTGAGATTAGCCTGGGAGCGCTTAATAAAAAGCAGAGAGGAAAGTGCCTCGGAGCAGATGCAGACTAGTACATTTCCTCGCATCTGAATAACTGGAGAGTCCCTCCGAAGCAGGGATTAGGAAGTGGGGTATCTGCTAGCTGCAGACGGATGTGAGTCCTGCTTGAAGGAACTGCCCTCATATCAAGTGAGCATTGGCTATTCTGGATGGCAGCAGTTCTGCAAGCACTCCGGGATATGGGCGATATCCAGTGCTGCTCTTCCACTTGCAAAATGGAACTTCCCTTTCCTGTCCACACCCCCCTCCGGCCCCCTTAAAATCTGCTCCAGGGAGCATAATTTGGGGTCAGCAGGAAGGAAAGGGCAGTTCTACTGCATGAATGGACTTCCTTTCACACGTCACTGGGTACACACTTATATCTTTTGAATCACCTTTCACCTGATCCATATAACTGGATACGTGAGAGATTTAATTTGGGGAACTTCTGCAAGAAATGCAGGTGCTTCTTACTACAGTGGTACCTCGGGTTACAGACGCTTCAGGTTACAGACCCAGAAATAGTAGCTCGGGTTAAGAACTTTGCTTCAGGATGAGAACAGAAATTGTGGGGTGGCGGTGCAGCGGCAGCAGGAGGCCCCATTAGCTAAAGTGGTACCTCAGGTTAAGAACAGTTTCAGGTTAAGAACGGACCTCCGGAACGAATTAAGTTCTTAACCCGAGGTACCACTGTACTGAGCCACAGTATTTCCCTGGTGCCTTTTTCTGTAGGAATAAGGTCTAAGGTTTGTTGGCTGAATGTTGAATGCTAGGTGGTGATAATAATCTTCTCACCAGTAGAATAATTGCATCATGGCCATCAATAAAAGGTGATATGAACAGAATAAATGACATAAGAATACTGATAGATTCACCCAAGGAGAGTGAATGCTTTCTAATTTGTATTGGGGAGGGAAAGAATTCAGCCACTTTTTCCATAACACAGAAGGAGTAATCTCTTAAACAGACAGATATCAGAGTTTCATTGGATCTTCAAGCTAGAGTTCTTAATAAAGGAAGAATCAGCCTCTTTTTAGTCCTTACTAAATGGATTGAATAGTAAAGGGGCCGCTAACATACAACCCTGTCTGACATCTCTAGTGCTCATTGCTGGCTTTTGTCGCTTTTGTAGATAAGAAACCTTTCAGAGTCATCTGTATGCGAATGCAACTAATGAGAGTAATGAAACAAATATAGAATGGAATAACTGCAATTTTCATGAATGGGTAATGAAACAAATACAATCTTTAATAGTGAAAATGATTGGGTGTGTGACTAAACATATACATCTTCTTGCAGACCCTAATAATAACCAGAATTCCACAACCTGTTAAGTAAAATTCTGCCAGCATATAACAGATGATCTCACGTTATTTGATTTAACAAATATTTGGATCTCATTTGTCAAAAATAAATGTAACAAATATATAGCGATTCTTACCTTCATTTAGCCAAAACACCTCCAATAGTTCTGTACACTAACAACATGCCATATCATTGTGCCAAAATAAACAAGCAGTTTCTTCTATTACCACAGCCTACTGTATACAAATTAAAATTCCTCAACCCACCTAAAAATCTAGTATGATAAACATTCCTATTATGTAGTGGAACAGTTGTTGGACACAATACATTATTCACTGTGATTTTGCTACGAGATATGTTCATTCTGTTGTGTGTTCCAAAACACTCCTCTTAAGTATGCAAGTCAGGTTTATAATTGATTGCAGTGGTTGTTGTTTTTTTGGTCATGTTCTTTTCCATTCCAAAAAAGCTAACGTTTTAGTAAAAAACCCCCAAAAACTGTTTTGAACATATGTGAGAGAACATTCAGTGATGAGTGATGAGGGAAGCTCCACCATAAGTTTCACTTCCATACAACTCTAAAAGATACAGGCAGCTTTTGAGGATGAGGATTAGGCTGCATTTGCACCATACATTTGAAACACCATGCTTCCCCCCCAGGGCTGTCTTAAGTAGGGGTCAGCAACCTTTTCCAGCCGTGGGCCGGTCCACCGTCCCTCAGACCATTTGGTGGGCAGGGCTATATTTTGAAAAAAAAAATAAATGAATGAATTCCTATGACCCACAAATAACCCAGAGATGCATTTTAAATAAAAGCATACATTCTACTCATGTAAAAACACCAGGCAGGCCCCACAAATAACCCAGAGATGCATTTTAAATAAAAGGACACATTCTACTCATGTAAAAACACGCTGATTCCTGGACCGTCCGTGGGCTAGATTGAGAAGGAGATTGCCACATCTGGCCCCCGGCTTTAGGTTGCCTACCCCTGGTCTTAAGCATGTGGTGCCGGGGTGCAAAGATCTGCCCGGCGCCCCTCCCAGTTGCCCAGTCCCAGGAGCGCAGAAGGCTGGAGCCGGCCGGCCGCCTCAGCGTCTTGCTGGCTCCGTCGCCTCCGAACTCGCAGCGCAGAGCCTCCTGCAGCAGCGGAGCCCGCCGTGGCACTCTGACCAATGGAAGGGCTCTTCCCCGGACTCAACTCTCGGGCCTCGGACTTTCGGCCTGGCGCCCCTGAGATCCCAGTGCCCAGGTGCCCCGCACCCCTAGCGCCTATGGGTAAGACGGCCCACACCCAATGAAATATGGAAACTGTAGTTTACCTCACACAGAGCTACAGTTCCCAGCACCCTTAACAAGCTACAGTTCCTAGGATTCTTTGGTGAAGCATGCTCTTCATATTGTGTATTCAGCCATAGTCTTGTTCCCTCTTTCTCTGCCAACAGTGCACCGCCCCTTTTGCCTCTTTCTGAGTTTCTTCTGCAGTTCCTTAGGCCCCTCTTTCTTTGTCTGATGTTCCTCCATGGCCCCTCTTTCACTGACCCTTCATTTCCACAACTTCCTGTCACACTTAACCTTCTTTTCCACCTCTTTCCCCCAAGCTTGTCTTCCCCTCAGTAGTCTGCACCCCATCCTTCAGACTTTATGCCTCTCTGGTCACTTAGATTCCCTATCTCATGGGATTTCTTCTCACTCTGTTTACCAGTACTTTGCTTTGTGGTGGGATTGTCTGTTAGTTAATGAATTTTGGATACAGATTGGTATAGAAATATCTGGAATTGTGGGTAGGAAGGTGGGGATATCTAAATCAATGGTTCTTATTAGTCTGAGTAGCACCAAATTAAAAACAAAAGAGGAATGTAAATGGGTAAAATTGACGGTAACTGCAGCCAGACAGTTTATAGCGAGTAACTGGGAAAATACAGAAGAGCTAGGGGTGAACCAATGGAGGGGAAAAAACTGAATAATATTATAATTTTAGAATATCTAACTGTGAAGATACACAGAATGAAAGGGTTTAAGGTCAGTGAGAAAGAGGAGGATTGGTTTGGGAAGATATTGAATTATTTGGGTAGGTTTGAACAATTTGGGGCAATTAAAATGTTAAAAGTTAAATAAACCTTGTGGATGGAGGAGTGTTAACGTATATAAAATTGTGCATATGGTTGATTTGAATACGTTATTATTGATTATGTATACCCAATGTATCAGCTGCCTGGGGGGTTTCACTGTTTGTGTTTGGTTGTTGGAAAAAAATAAAAATTGTTTAAACCGCCCCCCCCCAAACAACAACACCCAGTACTTTGCTTGCTTCCTAACCCCTCCTTTCCCTAGCCTCCCTGTCAGGTTTTCCTAGAAAGAAGGACCTTGAAACTGACTTGTTCCACACATATTTTATCATTCAGCCCTTTGCAGCCCCAGCAGTCAGAATGATCACGAATTACTGATTAGGCTTGATGTGAGACATGCAGCTATCTCTCTTGTTTTTCTTAAATTAATTATAGCTGCAGGGGTCTCCAATTGCTATCAGAATCACAGTGCGCAGGGAGGGAAGATGAGAGACCTCTAAGGCTCCTTGGATCCTCCCTAGCCTGGAGAATCAGCAGCTTCACTGGGTAACTTAGTTCTTCTACAGAAAGTGGGATGTGATTATTCCACCAGTGCAGAAGGACTAATCTTTCTTTCTTTTTTTAAAAAATATTGTTTTATTGCTCAATTTCCACACAACAAATTATACAATCACCTACATAATTCCGCCCCCATGAACTTCCCTCAGCTCCTTCCCTTGATTTCGCTGCCCATATTTTCTCTGCATATTATAAAATTATATATACAGTCATACCTTGGGTTGAATGTGCTTCAGGTTGAGCGCTTTTGGGTTGCGCTCTGCGGCAACCCGGAAGTAACGGAGCGTGTTACTTCAGGGTTTCGTCGCTCGCGCATGCGCAGACGCTCAAAATGACGTCACGCGCATGTGTGAAAGTGGCAAAACACGACCTACGCAGACGCGCCATCGCATCTTACGTTCCATTCAGGATGCGAACAGGGCTCCGGAACGGACCCCGTTCGCATCCCGAGGTACCACTGTATCCTTACATATCTATCCTTCATGTTATCAACAATAAATTTGTGTATGTTTATTCAAAACCTGCCAAGGAGTCCAATTCAGTTTGTTTTGTTTTTAGATAGTTTGTATAAAGTTCCCATTCTTCCTTGAAGTTACAGTTGTCCTTGTCTCACAATTTGTATGTCAATTCGGCCTGTTGTGCGTAGTCCATCAATTTCTCTTGCCACTGTTCTTTTCTTGGGGTTTCTTCATTCATCCATCCATCCTTGTGCTATCAAGACTCTTGCAGCTGTTGTAGCATACATAAATAAGTTCCTTGTTTTCCTTGGCAGGTCTTGCAGAAGGACTAATCTTTCTTGATGGGGTCTCAGGCAGAGGGACCAGGAAAGTTAGGCTTTGCCGAATCAACTCAGGTTGCTTCCTCTGCTGTGGCGGGCCCAGGTAAGTGGAATAACTAGGAGTCTGTGGACCAGTGGGGGCTTGTTCTGGTCTAACGGCTTGGCTTCTCCTCCATCCCACAAATACCCTAAATGGATACCCTTTGCATTCTACTGTTGAAACCACTGAGTTACAGGCATAAACACAGGTAGGCATCTTGGAAGCAAGAGCCCAAATTGTCCTCAGGCTTGGCACCAGAGGTGGATCACTAGTTGCCTTAGCCATGGGACTCCTCACTGAAGGAGGACCTGACATTACACCAAGCCTTGGGCCAGACTCCATCTGGGTAAAAAAAGGAGAAGCCAGGATCATGCTACAAAGACTGAGGAGAGACCATCCACAGCCAGGGGGAGTTCAACCTCTGACATTGAGGCTGAATGGGTCCCAGGCCAGAGGGAGTGGCAGTGCCACAAATGCTAGATGGAAACCTGACCCCTCCACAGAAGTGCCCGGCTACAGACAAGGACTCAGAAATATACTTGGAGTCGAGTGCGGATTTCATGCTCTTTATTCAGCTCATAGTAGTGAGGAATGCCAGTTCCCCCAAAATGTCTGCTTTATATACATTATTTACACAATGGGCCCCACGTGATTGGCCAATTCTGGGATTCTCCTGTAGGCCAATCAGGTTGCGGATTCACTTCCACCTGGAGCTGGATTGGGTGGCTCTTGCGGACCAATCAAACTGCTGCATTTTGGATCCTATTGTTCTAGGACCAATCAGACTGCTGCATTTTGGATCCTATTGTTCTAGGACCAATCAGACTACTGCATTTTGGATCCTATTGTTCTAGGACCAATCAGGCTGCTGCATTTTGGATCCTATTCAACTCAATACATAACAGACACCAAAGGGGTAGTGGTCTCCTGGGCAGTGAGAGTCAAGGAGGCATCTTTGGGGGGATAAACTTTGGAAGAGTGATCTGAAATTTACAGCATGTTTTTCCTTGAAGGAGAACTACCTGTGGCTTTGCCAACCCCTGTGCTTATATCTTAATGCCAGGCAGGGGAGAATAGATGGGAAGTAATAATAATAATAATTTATTATTTATACCCCATCCACCTGGCTGGGTTTCCCCAGCCACTCTGGACGGCTTCCAACAAAACACTAAAATACAATACCTATTAAACATTAAAATCTTCCCTAAACAGGGCTGCCTTCAGATGTCTTCTAAAAGTTTGGTAGTTATTTTTCTCTTTGACATCTGATGGTAGGGCGTTCCACAGGGTGGGTGCTACTACCGAGAAGGCCCTCTGCCTGGTTCCCTGTAACTTGGCTTCTCGTAGTGAGGGAACCGCCAGAAGGCCCTCGGCGCTGGACCTCAGTGTCTGGGCAGAATGATGGAGGTGGAGACGCTCCTTCAGGTATACTGGACTGAGGCCGTTTAGGGCTTTAAAGGTCAGCACCAACACTTTGAATTGTGCTCGGAAACGTACTGGGAGCCAGTGTAGGTCTTTCAAGACCGGTGTTATGTGGTCCCGGCGGCCACTCCCAGTTACCAGTCTAGCTGCCGCATTCTGGATTAGTTGTAGTTTCCGGGTCACCTTCAAAGGTAGCCCCACATAGAGAGCATTGCAGTAGTCCAAGCGAGAGATAACCAGAGCATGCACCACTCTGGTGAGACAGTCTGCGGGCAGATAGGGGATGTACACCTTTTCACATCTTACTCCCCCCCCCCCCCAAGTTGGCTTTGATGCTAAGGTGGAGATGGGGGCCTCAAGGGGACCAGCTCTGGAAGGGATTCTGTGAGCAGAAGATGAGCTAGACACCTCTTTCTGCCCACCAGTTATCTTTGAATTACGGTTAGCCAGCAACGGATGACACAGAACAATTGGGGACGAAAGCAGGAAGTCTAAACTCTGCCATTTTCACGGTAATCCATCGCTCGTTTTCCAAGGAGCCAAACGGTAGGGCCAAACAGAGGGTTGCTGGTGTGTCAAGTCACCCCCCCACAAAAAGTATTTAAAGCACGTACTCCCTGCAAGGAACCTTGGGAACTGTAGTTTGTTAAGAGTGATGGGAATTGTAGATCTGCGAGTGGTTCCCAGGATTCCTTGGAAGTAAGCCATGCTGTGAATGTGACAAAGGTCTAACATGAGAAGCAGCCCCTTGCCCATCCGATTTTGTGGTCCCTTGTCATGGGGATGTATTAAAAAATTGCTGGTGGTCAAGGGAGGAAAACGGAGAGCACTGGCAGTCAGTCGACTTGTTTTTGTGTGTTTGCGTGTTTGTTTTGCACAGCA